CTTTAATACTGATCCCCACAGAGCCAACACGAGTTCTTTTAACAACACCCAGGAGTGCCTGGGGTGGAGGAGGGCACGTGGCACCCAGGAGTGCCTGGGTGGAGGAGGGCACGTGGCACCCAGGAGTGTCTGGGTGGAGAAGGGCACGTGGCACCTAGGAGTGTCTGGGTGGAGGAGGGCACGTGGCACCCAGGAGTGCCTGGGGTGGAGGAGGGCACGTAGCACCCAGGCGTTCCTGGGTGGGGGAGGGCGTGTGACACCCAGGAGTGCCTGGGTGGAGGAGGGCGTGTGACACCGAGGAGTGTCTAGGGGGAGGATGGTGCATGACACCCCAGGGGTGCCTAAGGGGAGGATGGTGCATGACACCCCAGGGGTGCCTAAGGGGAGGATGGTGCATGACACCCCAGGGGTGCCTAAGGGGAGGAGGGCACGTGACATGACTAACCATCCTGCAAGATGGAGACTGTTAGTATCACTGCTGCCTTATTCACTCTTGTGTTGTTGAAGATATCTTCATAATGCACCCGGAGTTTGCCAGTGGGGCAATCTCTACTGCCCAGATGTCTCTGTATGACTAACCATCCTGTGTGATGGGGATATTAGCATCACGTAGCCAGCTTTTGGACACATTGTACGATCCCTTTCTTGTTCCTATTACTATCCCCATTTATTACACCTTAACTTTCGTACCTTTTGCCTTGCTTTTTCTTCCTCTAAGATTTCCTTTTCCTCACCTTTCTCTTGCCCATTTATTGCCTTCGCCTCCTTCCCTCATGTGACGGGAGACATCTCCCGTCACGCAGGGTGCAGTCGCACCTCCACAGATCTCCAGTATCAGCTCTTGATACTGGTAATGGCTCAAAAGGGCCACCACTTACGGGCTATTCATGCCCGTGCCACCTTTTGGGTGGCTTAATCTTCATCAATCAATCTTCCCTCATCACAATCGACTTAAGAATGGTCCAGGACGGACCGAAATGTCGTCGTCCCTTCACTTTCTAGTGTGTGATTTTGATAACACGCTGTTCTCTCCCTTTATATAGCCTCCTTCTTGAGGTTATCTTGAGATGATTTCGGGGCTTTAGTGTCCCCGCGGCCTGGTCCTCGACCAGGCCTCCACCCCCAGGAAGCAGCCCGTGACAGCTGACTAACACCCAGGTACCTATTTTACGGCTAGGTAACACGGGCCAAAAGGCGAAAGAAACTCTGCCCATTGTTTCTCGCCGGCGTCCGGAACCACAGGATCATAAGTCCTGCGTGCTGTCCGCTCGGCCGACCGGCTCCCTTCTCTAGGGCAAGTGCACAAATGCAGATGTAACTAATTGAGTTATTACAAATAAGAGAGTGACACCCTGGAGTGCCTGGGTGGTAGAAGGCGCGTGACACCCAGGAGTGCCTGGGTGGTAGAAGGCGCGTGGCACCCAGGAGTGCCTGGGGGGTGGAGGGTGCGTGACACCCAGGAGTGCCTGGGGTGAAGGAGGGCGCGTGACACCCAGGAGTGCCTAGGGTGGAGGAGGGTGCGTGACACCCAGGAGTGCCTGGGGTAGAGGAGGGTGCGTGACACCCAGGAGTGCCTAGGGTGGAGGAGGGTGCCTGACACCCAGGAGTGCCTGGGGTAGAGGAGGGTGCGTGACACCCAGGAGTGCCTGGGGTGGAGGAGGGTGCGTGACACCCAGGAGTGCCTGGGGTGGAGGAGGGCGCGTGACACCCAGGAGTGCCTGGTGGGGAGGAGGTTGTCAGTCTGCGGGTGGCGGTGGCAGGAGAAGCACCGACGTCGCAGCTGCTCCCAGCGCCAGTAGTGGCGCGGTCGCCAGCAAGCGCACATGTCCACCCACACTCTCCACACGCCTTCACACCTCGCCCCACTTTATTCATTTATATTACTTAACAAAATCTGAAAGAGACTGTTTATCATGGAATTCAACCGCTTTTGAAAAGTTGTAGAAACTTGTGAGTTGCACGCACTTTATAAATATGGCTAGAACACTTACAGACAATTAAAACACTATTACCGACTGAACAGTTATTGCCCAAGAGCTTCTCGCTCATATGTCGAAAACGAAGTGAAATTATCAATATATATATATATAGCCTGGCATTAACCGGACGGGGCTAACCATTACCGGACACAAGGCCTAACCACAACCAGACAGTACCTACCATGCTGCTGCATTATCAAGAAATAGTACTAAGGTGTCCATAGGATCTGGATTCTGTTTCGGAGAGTCTTCAACAGGTCTCAACAGGGCCGGCACGCAGCCTTGTAGGTCTTCAACAGGTCTCAACAGGGCCGGCACGCAGCCTTGTAGGTCTTCAACAGGTCTCAACAGGGCCGGCACGCAGCCTTGTAGGTCTTCAACAGGTCTCAACAGGGCCGGCACGCAGCCTTGTAGGTCTTCAACAGGTCTTCGTAAGATCTGCAACAAATATTGTCTAAACCATTTTTGTTTACAGATATTTTAAACTTTTCTGGTCTTTGGAAGCTTTCCAGAGAACTGACACACATTTCCGATGTATTCCGGAACTCCGTAAACTTTCCAGTTATCCAGAAGTATTTCAGTCTCAAGTTCCTTCCCAATAACTTCGGCGCACTTCGAGAAAAGCTCCGAAAACTCCTTATATCTTCAAAAGTCTTCCAGACGGGAGTCCAACAATACTGTCAAGAATCTACAAAGACTTTTCCAGCAAAGCTCAGAAAACGTTTTACTCGTTCACTGGAAGTGTTGCAGCTGCCAAGTCGTTCCGAACTCTCTCTTGGCCATGTTGTTGAAGAGTGAGAGGGGTGCCACCACCACACAGTGAGAGGGGTGCCACCACCACACAGTGAGAGGGGTGCCACCACCACACAGTGAGAGGAGTGCCACCACCACACAGTGAGAGGGGTGCCACCACCACACAGTGAGAGGGGTGCCACCACCACACAGTGAGAGGGGTGCCGCCACCACCACACAGTGAGAGGGGTGCCACCAACACGCAGTGAGAGGGGTGCCACCACCACACAGTGAGAGGGGTGCCACCACCACACAGTGAGAGGGGTGCCACCACCACACAGTGAGAGGGGTGCCACCACCACGCAGTGAGAGGGGTGCCACCAGCACACAGTGAGAAGGGTGCCACCATCACCCAGTGAGAGGGATGCCACCACCACACAGTGAGAGGGGTGCCACCACCACACAGTGAGAGGGGTGCCACCAACACGCAGTGAGAGGGGTGCCACCAGCACACAGTGAGAAGGGTGCCACCACCACCCAGTGAGAGGGATGCCACCACCACACAGTGAGAGGGGTGCCACGACCACACAGTGAGAAGGGTGCCACCACCACCCAGTGAGAGGGGTGCCACCACAACACAGTGAGAGGGATGCCACCACCACACAGTGAGAGGGGTGCCACCACCACACAGTGAGAGGGGTGCCACGACCACCCAGTGAGAGGGGTGCCACCAACACACAGTGAGAGGGGTGCCACCACTACCCAGTGAGAGGGGTGCCACCACCACACAGTGAGAGGGGTGCCACCACCACACAGTGAGAGGAGTGCCACCACCACACAGTGAGAGGGGTGCCACGACCACACAGTGAGAAAGGTGCCACGACCAGCCAGTGAGAGGGGTGCCACCACCACACAGTGAGAGGGGTGCCACCACCACACAGTGAGAGGGGTGCCACCACCACACAGTGAGAGGGGTGCCACGACCACACAGTGAGAAAGGTGCCACGACCAGCCAGTGAGAGGGGTGCCACCACCACACAGTGAGAGGGGTGCCACCACCACACAGTGAGAGGGGTGCCACCACCACACAGTGAGAGGAGTGCCACCACCACACAGTGAGAGGAGTGCCACCACCACACAGTGAGAGGGGTGCCACCACCACACAGTGAGAGGAGTGCCACCACCACACAGTGAGAGGAGTGCCACCACCACACAGTGAGAGGAGTGCCACCACCACACAGTGAGAGGGGTGCCACCACCACACAGTGAGAGGGGTGCCACCACCACCCAGTGAGAGGGGTACCACGACCACCCAGTGAGAGGGGTGCCACGACCACACAGTGAGAGGGGTGACACGACCACACAGTGAGAGGGGTGCAACGACCACACAGTGAGAGGGGTGCCACGACCACACAGTGAGAGGGGTGCCACCACCACACAGTGAGAAAGGTGCCACGACCACACAGTGAGAGGGGTGCCACCAGCACACAGTGAGAGGGGTGCCACCAGCACACAGTGAGAGGGGTGCCACGACCACACAATGAGAGGGGTGCCACCACCACACAGTGAGAGGGGTGCCACCAGCACACAGTGAGAGGGGTGCCACCAGCACACAGTGAGAGGGGTGCCACCACCACACAGTGAGAGGGGTGCCACCACCACCCAGTGAGAGGGGTGCCACCACCACACAGTGAGAGGGGTGCCACCACAACACAGTGAGAGGAGTGCCACCACAACACAGTGAGAGGAGTGCCACCACAACACAGTGAGAGGAGTGCCACGACCACACAGTGAGAGGGGTGCCACCACCACACAGTGAGAGGGGTGCCACCACCACACAGTGAGAGGGGTGCCACGACCACACAGTGAGAGGGGTGCCACGACCACACAGTGAGAGGGGTGCCACCAGCACACAGTGAGAGGGGTGCCACGACCACACAGTGAGAGGGGTGCCACCACCACACAGTGAGAGGGGTGCCACCACCACACAGTGAGAGGGGGTGCCACCACCGCACAGTGAGAGGGGTGCCACCACCACACAGTGAGAGGGGTGCCACGACCACACAGTGAGAGGGGTGCCACGACCACACAGTGAGAGGGGTGCCACCACCACACAGTGAGAGGAGTGCCACCACCACACAGTGAGAGGGGTGCCACCACCACACAGTGAGAGGGGTGCCACGACCACACAGTGAGAGGGGTGCCACGACCACACAGTGAGAGGAGTGCCACCACCACACAGTGAGAGGAGTGCCACCACCACACAGTGAGAGGGGTGCCACCACCACACAGTGAGAGGGGTGCCACCACCACACAGTGAGAGGGGTGCCACGACCACACAGTGAGAGGGGTGCCACCATCAACATGTCGTGGAGGAGACTGACGACCCAGGCCTGGATGGCAGCTATGGTTCTCCTGGCCCAAGGTAAGCCCTACCATTCTCGTGGTGGCAAGGTAAGCCCTACCATTCTCCTGGCCCAAGGTAAGCCCTACCATTCTCCTGGCCCAAGGTAAGCCCTACCATTCTCGTGGTGGTAGTGTATGAGAACTTGTTTGTTATAAATTAACTCCTTTTCATGGTTCGATTAATCTTGTTCTTTATAAGTTATTATTTCTCCTTTCGTTGATTCATTTTTGAGGAGGAAATGTTATAATTAATGGTATTTAGGATATAACATTATTGGTTGTGATCACAATCAGTACCAGAGGTGGTAGTGACCACCACCAGTACCAGAGGTGGTAGTGACCACCACGAGTACCAGAGGTGGTAGTGACCACCACCAGTACCACAGCTGGTAGTGACCACCACCAGTACCAGAGGTGGTAGTGACCACCACCAGTACCAGAGGTGGTAGTGACCACCACCAGTACCAGAGGTGGTAGTGACCACCACCAGTACCAGAGGTGGTAGTGACCTCCACCAGTACCAGAGGTGGTAGTGACCACCACCAGTACCAGAGGTGGTAGTGACCACCACCAGTACCAGAGGTGGTAGTGACCACCACCAGTACCAGAGGTGGTAGTGACCACCACCAGTACCAGAGGTGGTAGTAACCACCACCAGTACCAGAGGTGGTAGTGACCACCACCAGTACCAGAGGTGGTAGTGACCACCACCAGTACCAGAGGTGGTAGTGACCTCCACCACCAGTACCAGAGGTGGTAGTGACCTCCACCAGTACCAGAGGTGGTAGTGACCACCACCAGTACCAGAGGTGGTAGTGACCTCCACCAGTACCAGAGGTGGTAGTGACCACCACCAGTACCAGAGGTGGTAGTGACCACCACCAGTACCAGAGGTGGTAGTGACCACCACCAGTACCAGAGGTGGTAGTGACCACCACCAGTACCAGAGGTGGTAGTAACCACCACCAGTACCAGAGGTGGTAGTGACCACCACCAGTACCAGAGGTGGTAGTGACCACCACCAGTACCAGAGGTGGTAGTGACCTCCACCACCAGTACCAGAGGTGGTAGTGACCTCCTCCAGTACCAGAGGTGGTAGTGGCCCCCACCATTTTTTTATTATTTTCTACCACAGACGTGGCCACACATTTACAATGCTAACCAGCATATATACATTTTCTTCTGTCCTCCATTGACAGGGTTAGTGATGTGTTAAACATATAGTTCAGGGGTTTATTGAACACTCAACCACAGAAGATGATTCGGTGCTTTTAAAACGCTAAGCTAACCTACATACGTAAATACATAGATACACAGATTTACGTATGCCCTACATAAAGTGTTCGATGTGTCTTTTACAGTGTCATTAATGTGCATTTACAAAGGTGAAATGTAATTCTGATCAGCTTCCAATATATACTTTATAAACATATACGTACATATACATATATACATGCATATACATATATACATACATATATATACACACACATGCATTCACATACATTTGTCTCTTTTTACTCTGACAGGGTGAGATAGCTGATAGAAAAACTAGTGTGCAATTAAGCACTTAATCACTGAAGGTGATTAAGGTGCTTTCACAAGCTTAGGTTATATATAGTTACATCACATACATGCATTGTATAATTGATACATTACATGGTCAATCTTGGGTACAAGTTCAATATATCATCAAGTGTTCCAGTACTCATATAGTAATTACACAGTTCAGCATACCTTAGCGCAGGAGGGCGAAAGTCAGTCAATATGGGACATTCTACAATATAATGTTCAAGAGAGTGCATGTTTTCTCTTTCACAAAGTTGACACATTGTGTACTCGACATTTGGAGTTTGAGAAAGCTGCCAGATATGTTTATATCCCAGGCGTATTCTGGCCACTATAACATCACATTGCCGGGTTCTTGTTCTATTAGTCCCATATGTGAATGTCTCCTCACGATATCTATCATAATATTTAATGCTACAACTTTCCGGTCTTTGTGAATTTGTTAGGTCGGTGAGATCTTCAATAGATATTTGTTTAAGTATTCTCTTTGTCACTGCTAATGAAACACCCATATCTATTTCTACCACTGGTTTTCTACAAGCTGTCTTTGCAAGCATATCAACAGTGTCATGCCTTGAGATGCCAACATGTGATGGTATCCATAGGAATTTAATTTCAAATATGTTTTCTTTAGCAGCTAAAACATTCATTCGAATATCACTGACTATTTTCTGGGTGTTATTACTATGTGCGTTCAATGCCAGGAGTGCACTCTGCGAGTCACAGTATATAAGTTGTGGGGTTTTCTGTTTTGCTTTCTCGACTGCAATGCGTAGGTCGCCAATGTACATGTGGCAGACGCTTCACGAAGCTGTCGGAATCAGCAGAGAAAATACGAGAGCAACCGTACAGGGCCTGGGAGCAAGGTCGAGTTAGAGTCCTTGAGGGTCTCTTCTCAGACTAGCCTCACCTGGTCCTGGTCCACGTTGATCGTTGGAATCTCCTCAATGATTTAACACTTTAAGGGACTCTTAAGGTCCTCATAGTTTAGTGAATAATAGTCAACTCGGTGTTGAAGACACCTGGAGCTGAAGGCTTGAGTAAATAGTTGGCAGTATTCAGAAGTGGTTCAACGGAAACACAGCATAAAACTTAACAGTAGTTTATTTACTAACTTAACCACTAATACAAAGGGTGCTTGATTTACTTTAGTTTGGCGTCAGAAAGGCTATGGTTGCATTAGCGAGACTCTTGACATCTGGCTAATCGACGGTCTAAAAATAGAGTATAACATCCACTATAAAATTTGCCACCGGAAGTAGGCGGGGCCAAGGACTGTATAAAAGGCGAGGAGGAGTGGTGCGGGGCCACTTGTGCAGCCGGCACCAGCTCCAGCACTTCAGCTCCACCTCAACCTCGGCCTTCCACATACAAGCAGCCACTTTTCCGGAGCTTCAGGGAGGAGGAACTTTGACCCCCACACACCACCAACATCCCAGCCACTCGGCCACTCATCGAGCCCGCCATTGCCTCCTCCACCCCATTCCGGCCAATCACTGGCTAATCGACTCGTATCCACTCGTGGTGAAACACCTAACTTAACACAGTTGACAGCCAAACATTAACACAGCAACCTAACTGCTGGTATGCAAAGGGATCACAAGAGTTCCAACCGGATACTCGGTAATGATGATGCACAATAAATCACAAATACACTGTCAATGGGACAGACAATAACATGCACAATAATAATATCACACAATAACTAAATGTATGGTGTATGTGAAGCTCACATTCACAGACGAGTGTAATGTCGTGATACCACACAGATAAACACACATACACCGTTGGGTGCCTTCACCTATACCTGTGCCAGGTATGAGTAGGTGAGAACTGTGGTTGATCCCTCAGATCAACACAGACAGACACAATAAAACAATAACAAGATCTTGTACTTACAGGTGGGGTACCTCTCTCACTCACTCACATCCATAGGCACATTTATGCAAGAACTCGTAGGTGGCCTGACAGCTCGTTCTGCTCATCACGACGTGAGACCATTGACGACAGGCTTTCCCACAAACCGTACTTGACACGGGGGTATTCGCAGGAGGGCGTGCTGTATGTCTAACCGACAAACGCACACACTTGGTGGCACTGGCGATGAGTAAGGGTGGTGACATCACGTAGTACAGTGAGGGCGGCGGCTGGCGGGCTACACGCTCACGACAGAGTGGCGGCGGCTGACTATATAGTACCATGCGGTACACTTGTGGTAAAGTCACACACAGGTTACTTAGGAGGCGGCACTGCCTTAGTACACTCTAGGTCACTCACAGACGATCTCTACTTGTCACCAGGGGTTACTTGATACCAGTCTGTTTCGCTCTGGTGATTTGTCACTAGGCTTCTAAACAATATATTCACAGTCGCGGTTCCGGGTGAGCGTTGGTATATCGAAAAGAAGCTGAGTTTAACTTAACGGTGAGGAATAGACGGTGTTCTTCTGTCTATTGGCCGATAGACAGAACAGGACACGTCCTTTATGCAAGGGCTTCCTCACGTGAATGCTCTTGCCAGCGGCTGTAGGGCATCTCGTGGGACACAACACAAGGGATTACAATTTGACCAATGACATTGCAACAAAAGAGCGGGAACCAATCATATTGATCGTTCCCTGATCAGTAGCAGAGGTGACGTCATAAACAAGTCACAACCACGTCACAGTTGTTATTCTCCATTGTGCCGGTTGAGGCTGACCCCAGAGGTCAGTCGCCTCGCTGGCGTTTCCTCTCCCTCTCTCACGCTGGCACCTCCTATGTACTCACTGACCCTTTGTGGCAAGTATGCTTAACTTTTCTGTATTTACTTCCTGCCTGGACATACGGCGGCCTCCGTATTATAACGTATTCCTGGTTAAGTGGACATCCTGGAGATACCCAACATGCCAGTTTACTATCCAGGGTTAACAGACATAGGGCTTGTGCACGAGAATCGGTGCACTGTGCATTGCAATGAGCCATTCAAGTCAGCTGTGGGAGAATCTTGAGAGATCGTTCTCTCACATAAGTCCTCTGCCTTTGTGTTTTAAAAATTTAGTGGCAAGGTATATGCCTGCAAGTTCGGTTTGAGTTGTACTTGCCCAGTCATTGACGCGCTTCATTGCTGTATGTACGAGAGGCGCTGATGCTGCGCCTGTACGTATGTACAGGCGCAGCATCAGAAGACGAGGGAGAAGACAGGGACGTCACACAGGGGGCTCCAGGAAGGCCCACGGGAGCAGCTGGAACAGCGACAGGATCAGGCAGACCAACCGACGGTACCTCAAGAACCGGAGGAGGGACGGCAACAACCGGAGGAACGGCAGGCGCCGCCGGGGAATCTGCAACAGCAAACGGGACGCACACCTCATCAACATCACCGGAGACTGCCTCCAGAGGGAGCGGCGGGAAATCCTCGTCGCGGAACAAGTTGACAGGAGCAGCAGGGGCCTCAGAGCACCCGGCAGCC